TGGGATTACAGGCATGCACCACCATGCCTGGCTAATTTTTCATATTTTTAGTAGAGACGGGATTTCACCATGTTGGCCAGGCTGGTCTCGAACTCCTGACCTCAGGTGATCCGCCCGCCTTGGCCTCCCACAGTGTTGGGATGACAGGCGTGAGCCACTGCGCCTGGCACGGGTCCATCTTTTAGACCCGTTCACCACTGAGGCCCTTGGGACAGGGCCTCTTCCCTTCTCTTGAGTGTACTTCCACGCCCACTTGTCTGCCGCAGAAGTGTCAGGCTTTCCTAGTGTGTGTGGTGGAGAAGGCCAGGCTCTCCTCCAGGCCACAGAGAGGTCCGTGTGCAGCTGCCTGACAAGAGCCGCCCTCCCCAGCCCCAGCGGCATCAGGGAGCACCTCGCTGCGTGTGCTCGCCCAGGGCAGTGGAGAGAAGCCGTCGGGAGCGCTGTCTCCATGGCCTCTTCCTGCCACCACCTGCACATAGAAGCCGAGTGGACCAAGCAGGAGCAAGCTGGGGTCCCTGGGTGACGAAGGACGGGGAGAAGTTGCCTGGGATGCGGGAGACCGTGTGGGCCTTTTCATGAGGGAGCAAGTCAGTCTCGCTGGTTTGAGCTTTTATACGTTTCTAGTTTAATTACAAGAGCAGCTAGAATTAACCCTGTGAAAATGTCCTGTGAAGCACAGGAAGGATTTTCCATAATAGATGAATTGGAAGCAAAATACAGTTGAAGCGCCCTATGAGAAGTGTTTCTGCTCCTTACTGTTCAAACCCTGCCCTCCCTGAAGCTGTCATTCTCCACTTCTAATGTGATCCTTTTCTCATGAGCTGTGACCTTCACCTGCTTTGAATAACTTTGTGATTTATTGATCAACAAACTATAATTTGGAAATGTGTCTTGTAAAGTCATTTTATGATAACCAGGGAAATTAATTTACAACTTTTGCCAGGCACAGTGGCTCACACCTGTAATCCCAACACTTTGGGAGGCCAAGGCAGGCAGATCACTTCAGGTCAGGAGTTGGAGAACAGCCTGGCCAACATGGTGAAACCCTGTCTCTACTAAAAATACAAAAATTAGCTGGGTATGCTGGTGGGCGCCTGTAATCCTAGCTACCTGGGAGGCTAAGGCAGACACTTGAAGATCACTTGAACCCAGACACTTCAAGGCAGACTACTTGAAGATCACTTGAACCCAGGAGGCAGAGGTTGCAGTGAGCTGAGATCGTGCCATTGCACTCCAGCCTGGGCAACAGAGCAAGACTCTGCCTCTAAATAAACAAATAAATAAAGTACAGCTTTAGATTGCTGCATGAATAACTATTAATAACAGCACCTATCTTGGTGGTGATGAGAATTTTTCCATCCTCTAAGCAGAGTTCAGTGAGGTGCACGGTCCCAAACGATGATACACCTGCAGAGGAGACGCAGCACGCAGAGTGGAAAGTGTGTACATTCCTGGGGCCACCCCTGTTCACTCACAGTTGTTAACCTGCACTAACAAGCACTCCCAGGTAGAAACACTTTCCTAGTCTACATGTGGACTGTAGCCTGCACAGACCTAGGGGGATGGAACAAAGGGGGACAAATGAGGGAATAAAAGACAAGATACAAAAGAGTGTATTTGTGCTGATGCACAGCCCTGGCGCAGGCCGACTGTGGCTCTGCCTACAGTGCGCTTCCTCCTTAGCGGCAGGAAGGTCATGTCTTGTGGTCATGTTCGCTGCAGCTTTGCCGTCTGGTGGGAGCCTGGCGTTGGGCTGGTTGAGGCTGTCTGCAGGCCCCTACTGAGCTCTTCCCTTGGAAGCTTCTTACGGATGCCAGGATCTCCCAGCAGGTGACCCTCAGCCCCACAGAATACACAATTCCACACTCTTAGCTCCTAGAATTTTTCTCCCTCTTGTGTGAGAATGGACAGACCACACACTCTTTGTTGCAGAGGTTCAGCCATCTTTTCTAACCTGAGACTCTGGGTGACGTAACTCCTGATAGGTGGTAGCTCTTTGTAACAATCACCAGCACCTCGCCCAGCCAAGGGCCGGGAAGCAAGAAAAAAAGCAATGACCAAAACACCACGTCACAGCCAGGAGAGCCTTGGACGCGTCACACACAGCTCAGCAAGTCTGGGTTTCCGGTGTCTCACCTCCTGGAGAAATGAAGCCTCAAGTCAGAAAGGGTGAGGAGGGGCACAGACGAGGCCCAACAACAGCAGGGTGGCGCAGAAGGCCTGAGGGACACAAAACGTCCGAGGCCTAGTCTTGGGCAGTGGGGCAGCACTGTGGAGCCATGTGGTAGAGGCATAGCAGCCCTGAGTGTCCAGGGCAAGGTGGCACAGCACGCCTGGACTGCTGAGAAGGAAGGACTTCCCTCAAGAATGCGTCTTGCTCCAGGTGCAGGGGCTCACGCCTGTAATCCCAGCACTTCAGGAGGCCAGGGGGGGTGGACCACTTGCGCCCAGGAGTTCGAGACCAACCGGGACAACGCAGTGAGACCTTCTCTACAAACATAAACATAAATTAGCTAGGCATGGTGACACACGCCTGGAGTCTCAGTTACTCCGGAGGCTGAGGCAGGAGAATCACTTAAACCCAGAAATTCAAGGCTGCAGTGAGTTGAGATCACACCACTGTACTCCAGCCTGGATGACAGAGCAAGACCCTGTCTCAAAAAACAGACAATGATAGAATGTGTCTCTGAAAAAGGCCCAGGTCTATGGCTGGAAAACAGAGCAGCTCATCTCCTGAGGCTGGAGCGATGGAGCTGGAAGGGCCTCACAGCTGTCCAGGCCAGGCTCCTTGCTGCACAGGTGGGATCTGCTGGCTCCAGAGAGTTCTTCAGACCCTGCAAGAGGGATCTGAGAAGAGGAACCAGGCCCCCTGGTTCCCAGGCCTTGACTCTCCCACTGTTTGTCCTTCCCTGATCAGAGCAGATAAATACCACCGTACCATAGATGGGACTTCTAGAAATTCCCCACACAGGACTGGGTGATTCTAAGGTATTGCTTTAGCTCTCTGAAGAAAATGTAACAATGAAGTCAATTTGTAAAAGATCACAGACTCCGTATTTTTAATCCTTATTTTCAGCATCCTCAATGAGTACAAACTTTTTGACATGTCTATTTTTGAAAAATCTTTATTGCTTTTCTTGACTGTACAACACATGTAAAAATTCAAATATTACAAAATGACTTAATTTAAAAAGTACATTTTAACATGGTATAAATGCCCATTTCAAAAAATTCAAGTATCATAAAATACATGATGTAGAAAATGAGCCCTCTGTAATCCAGCCCTACCCCCGTATCCCCCAGGATTACTGCTGTTCAGATCCACGTGTTTCCTTCCAGATCGTCTCTGGCACCTGCCACCCACATGGCCTACATGAGCTCCATATGATCTGAGATGATAGTAACGCTGATCAACCAGCAGGGTTCAGCTGCCGGTGCACTGAACAGCTTCCAGTTTCTACACAGAAACACTTTCCTCATCAAAGCTTGAAACTGCGACATAGTTTTGCACTATGTAAATGTATCAGGTTGAATCATGAAATTAATGAACGCTGACCATTTTTGGCCTAGAAAACGGCAATTTCATGTGGTTCAACATAATAGCTATGGCCCTACTCATAGGCATTGGGGGGGTTTCCTACTTTTTGCCATTATGAACATTCAGCAGGCCAGGTGCAGTGGCTCATGCCTGTAATCCCAGCACTTTGGGAGGCCAAGGCGGGCAGATGACCTGAGGTCAGGAGTTCAAGAACAGCCCGGCCAACATGGTGAAACGCCGTTTCTACTGAAAACACAAAAATTAGCTGGCCATGGTGGCGGGCACCTGTAATGCCAGCTACTTGGGAGGCTGAGGCAGTAGAATCGCTTGAACCCAAGAGGTGGAGGTTGCAGTGAGCCAAGATTGCACCACTGCACTCCACCTGGGCTACAGAGTGAGACCCTATCACAAAAAAAAAAAAAAATCAGCAGGGAATGTCCTTGTATGTTCTTTATGGAGTACAAACATCTTGCTCCCAAAGCATGACACCTCTCTTTTGGGCATTAGAAGAGGCAAGAAGGATGAAGCTGCCCATTTGCCATGGAAATGGAGACCCAGCAGAGAGCTGATGCATAAACAACTCGTCCCTCAAGAGTGGCCTTCAGCCATCACACCATTTCAGTATGGTGACCACATTACGTGAGCAAACCCAACACAGGCAAAACCAGAGAACAGAAGAATTCCTCAGCTCAGAGACAAATCTTATCCCTTCTGACCAGTATGACCAGGAACTCACAGAAATGCAGCGAGTACCCCAAAGCTGTCCTCTGGAAGTTGGGCTGTCAGAAGGTATAAAAAATGATTTTCAGGCTGGGTGCGGTGGCTCACACCTGTCATCCCAGCACTTTGGGAGGCCGAGGCAGGCGGATGACTTGAGGTCAGGAGTTTTGAGACCAGCTTGGCCAACATAGTAAAACTCTGTCTCTACTAAAAATACACAAAATTGGCTGAGTTTGGTGGCAGGCACCTGTAATCCCAGCTACTCGGGAGCCTGAGGCAGGAGAATCACTTGAACCCAGAAGGCGGATGTTGCAGTGAGCTGAGATCACGCCACTGCACTCCAGCCTGGGCAACAAAAATGAAACTCTGGGCTGGGTGCGGTGGCTCACACCTGTAATCCCAGCACTTTGGGAGGCCGAGGCAGGCGGATCACGAGGTCAGGAGATCGAGACCATCCTGGCTAACACAGTGAAACCCTGTCTCTACTAAAAAAGACAAAAAAATTAGCCAGGCGTGGTAGTGAGCGCCTGTAGTCCCAGCTACTCGGGAGGCTAAGGCAGGAGAATGGCGTGAACCCAGGAGGCAGAGCCTGCAGTGAGCCGAGATCGTGCCACTGCACTCCAGCCTGGGCAACAGAGTGAGACTCTGTCTCAAAAAAAAAAAAAAACAACAATTCGTAAATGTACTGAAATCAGATTTGCAGGAAACATGTTTTAAGGTTTTTTCCAGGACTACTGGAGTGACCAAAAAAAAAAAAAAAGGCACCTGTTAAAATGACGCACACGTCAGGCCTCGAACCAAGACCAGAACGTAGTGTGTACGTGTCACTAGCGTTTCCGCACAGGCCGCTTCCGCTTCAACCTTGGCTGGGGTTTGTAGATTCTGTTCGGGTCACAGTTGAGCTTGTGGATGGTTTTCTTATGGCAGACAATGTGCACTAGTTTTAGGTTCTCTGAGGTAAACAGCAGGCCATAAAAATACTCCCAGTCCACTTCTCTTCCGTCTTGTTCCTTAATTGCTTCCACCAGTGTAGGAATGATGGTGCGTTTCTTTTCTATTCTGCAAAGTAAGGTTAGAAACATCATTTTCTGTGGTCACAGTGCCACAGGCAACAGGTCACAGCAGCGCACTGCAGTCACAACTCTTCCCAAATTCCCCTAAGTGCCGTCACAGACACGCGGCCGAGCCAGCTGGCCAGGTCTGTCAAGCAGAGCCTGATGCAAGCAGCCTTGCTCATGTTACTTTTTAAAACTTGACTTGTGGCCGGGCATGGTGGCTCACGCCTGTAATCCCAACACTTTGGGAGGCCGAGGCGGGCAGATCACTTGAGGTCAGGAGTTCGAGACCAGCTTAGCCAACATACTGAAACTCTGTCTCTACTAAAAATACACAAAATTGGCTGGGCATGGTGGTGGGCACCTGTAATTCCAGCTACTTGGGAGGCTAAGGCAGGAGAATCACTTGAACCCTAGTGGTGGAGGTTGCAGTGAGCCAAGATCACGCCACTGCACTCCAGCGTGGGCAACAAAAGCAAAACATCATCTCAAAAAGAAAAAAAGACTTTTGTCACTGTTCAGAATACTGAAAAGTACGTGGAAAATAAAGGGGGTCAACCACCTTCCCATCACTTACAGTCACCCACCATCAACAACTGGCTTAACTGACTCCATGTTTCATCCACATATAGATTTACCCCCAAAAACATTACATGATAGGACATGAAAATTTTACAAACAGAGCCTTACAAAGGAAGCTGAAGTCACCTTTGATCCCACTTGTAATCTCATGTCCCTCCTTCCCCTCACAGGTAATCACTATTAAGGGTTTGCTAATGATCTTTCCAATCCTAATCTTATACCGTTATACACATATATGTGTGTCTGTTTAAAAAACTACATGAGGCCAGGCACAGTGGCTCACACCTGTAATCCCAGCACTTTGGGAGGCTGAGGCAGGCGGATCACCTGAGGTCAGGAGTTCAAGACCAGCCTGGCCAAGATGGCAAAACGTCATCTCTACTAAAAACACAAAAATTAGCTGGGCATGCTAATGTGTGCCTGTAATCCCAGCTGCCCAGGAGGCTGAAGCAGGAGAACTGCTTGAACCCTGGAGGCAGATGTTGCAGAGAGCAGCATTGTGCCACCGCACTCCAGCCTGGGCAACAGAGTGAGATTCTGTCTGAAAAAAAGAAACAAAAAACTGTTCCGGGCGACGGACTTCGCATCCCAGAACCATGGCCCAATTTGTCCGTAACCTTGTGGAGAAGCCCCCGGCTCTGGTGAACGCTGCTGTGACTTACTCAAAGCCTCGATTGGCCACATTTTGGTACTACGCCAAGGTTGAGCTGGTTCCTCCCACCCCTGCTGAGATCCCTAGAGCTATTCAGAGCCTGAAAAAAATAGTCAATAGTGCTCAGACTGGTAGCTTCAAACAGCTCACAGTTAAGGAAGCTGTGCTGAATGGTGTGGTGGCCACTGAGGTGTTGTTGTGGTTTTATGTTGGAGAGATCACAGGCAAGCGTGGCATTGGCTATGATGTTTGAAGACCAATCTTTAACATCTGGTTATATTTGATTTATTATTTGAGTGTTATTGGACCATGTGTGATCAGACTGCTATCTGAATAAAATAAGATTTGTCAAAAAAAAAAAAAAAAGAAAACAAAAAACTACATGAGGCTAGGCACAGTGGCTCACGTCCATAATTCTAACACTTTGAGAGGCTGAGGCGGGCGATCACTTGAGGCCAGAAGTTTAAGACCTGCCTAGCCAACATGGTGAAACCCCGCTTCTACAAAAAATACAAAAAAAAATTAGCCAGGCATAGTACTGCACGCCTGTAATCCCAGCTACTACTCAGGAGGCTGAGGCCTGAAAATCGCTTGAACCCAGGAGGCGGAGGTTGCAGTGAGCCAAGATCATGCCACTGCATTCTAGCCCGATGAGAGTGAGACTGTCCCAAGCACACACACACACACCATGATATTGCTGTTTCACTTATAAACCATTTGGAAGACTGTGCAGTAACAAGCATAGGAACTTGCAAACTGACGAGGTGGGATTAGAGACCGCATGGCCAGGAGGGCTTATGGTGGGTGGCGATAAACTGGTGCAGACCCCTCTCCCTGCAACCCACAGAAATGCTGAGCTGCAGTCGCCTTTTTTTTTTTTTTTTTTGAAACAGAGTCTTGCTCTGTCACCCAGGCTGGAGTACAGTGGCACGATCTCGGCTCACTGCAATGTCCGCCTCCTGGGTTCAAGACATTCTCCTGCCTCAACCTCCTGAGTAGCTAGGATTATAGGCATGCACCACCACATCCAGCTAATTTTTGTATTTGTATTTTGTATTTTTAGTACAGACAGGGTTTCACCATGTTGGCCAGGCTGGCCTTGAACTCCTGACCTCGGCCTCCCACAGTGCTGAGATTACAGGCGTGAGCCACCACACCCGGCCAAAAGTCACCTTGTTAAAATACTTAGTTGAGATCAAAAGAAAGGGGCTCCCCAGCTGCCAGAAACCAAAGAGAAATTAGTGCACACAGGCAAGCTATGGTTCGGGGGCTCACCAGGGTTCCAGTCCCTGATACAGGCCCAGGGGACCCTCGAAAGACAGGGAGGTGGGACTAAGACCCCTGCCATAGCCATTAAGGGGGATAGAAAAACTTGAGCAGAGCCCGATGCTTGGGTAAGAGGAAGGGAAACCCACTGAACCCATTATCTAATGCTGTAGAAGCAGCCACCACCAAACGCAGTGGCTTCCGGGGGTTGGCCTTGGGGGCCTTCTGCTGGTGTTGCCTGGTACACTCGGGGGCTGTGTCTGATGGAGGGTGGCCTACGGCTGGGCCGTTCTCCCTGTCCTCTTCCATCCTGAAGGGGTCAGGACAGGCTCCCTCACATGGTGACGGCAGTGTTCAGAGGGGACAAGTCCCCCAGGCAAGCAGGCCTCTGTTAGCTCAGTGTTGCCTTCGCTGGTGTCACGTGGACAAGCCCGAATTCAGCGTGGGGAGAGAAGGCAGGGGAGCACACAGGGTGTGGACACCGAGAGTGCGTTCCTGTCCCCGCCTTCACGGTCATCCGCAGAACGCAGGGTGTACGGCCCAAAGTACACAACCAACAAGGCAGGGAACCACAAGCAAGAAATGGCAGGAAGTTACTTCCAAGCCACGGAAACCCTGGGCATCTGCAGGAATCAAATCCGAACCCACGAACAGCCACACTGAAGGGGCGCCGTGACCCCCCAGAGCACCGCGGAGGCCTACAGGAAACACTTCCCACTGAAGCCAGCTCCAGGCCCAAACACACAGCAGCAGATGTTGCCTGGTACACTCGGGGCTGTGTTCGATGGAGGGTGGCTCACAGCTGGGCCGCCGCCGCCTGTCCTCCATCCTGAAGGGGTCAGGGACAGGCTCCCTCACATGGTGACGGGGTAGTGTTCAGAGGGGACAAGTCCCCCAGGGGCAAGCAGGCCTCTGTTAGCTCAGTGTTGCCTTCACAGTCACGTGGACAAGCCCGAATTCAGCGTGGGGAGAGAAGGCAGGGGAGCACACAGGGTGTGGACACCGAGAGTGCCTCTCAATCCCCGCCTTCACGGTCAATCCCAGAACGCAGGGTGTACGCCCAAAGTACACAAACCATAACAAGGCAGGGAACCACAAGCAAGAAATGGCAGGAAGTTACTTCCAAGCCACGGAAACCCTGGGCATCTGCAGGAATCAAATCCGAACCCACGAACAGCCACATCGAAGGGGGCGCCTGACCCCCCCAGAGCACACGGAGGCCTACAGAAACACTTCCCACTGAAGCCAGCTCCAGGCCCAAGACACAGCAGCAGAAGCTCCACCAGAGCCACGCTGAAGGCACCGTGACACCCCGGGAGTACCACGGAGGCTCACGTGGATACACTTCCCACTGAAGCCAGCCTCCAGGCCCAAACACACAGCAGCAGAAGCTCCACCAGAGCCACGCTGAAGGCGCCGTGACACACTGGAGCACCACGGAGGCCTACGGGATACACTTCCCACTGAAGCCAGCTCCGGGCCCAAACACACAGCAGCAGAAGCTCCACCAGCAGGAGAGGCCGACCCAGCAGTGGCACAGGGCTGCCCACACGACAGACCCTTTAGGAGCCCAGCACAGTCCACAAGGACCCTCACTCCTGACACCAACTACAGCGGGGAGGTGTCCCTGAGACCACCTCAGACTCCATAACTCCCTGAAAGGACTCGAAGATTCCCCAGTGAGCCGGTGGACTCAAGGTTATCATTTCTTACAGCTGCAGATGAAAATCAGCCAAGGTTATGAGGCACAGAGCGGGCGGTCCAGGAAGGTTCCAATCCCAGAGCTTCCAGCTGTCCCCTCCCTGTGGGGTCATGGCCAGCCCTCACTTCCCCAAGCACTAACTTCCACAGCCCTCTGTGACAACACTGCCAACCGGGAAGCTCACGGGCCTGGACGCCAGCCTTCACCGGGGCTCACACAGACATGGCTGATGGCCCACGGGGCCAACCTCCGCCTCAAACCCTCTAGAGGCCAAGCTGTCCCAAAGCCCCCACCCTAAATCACCCCATTAAACTATCCAGTGACCCAAGGTCCCCAGGTGAACAAAGACACTCCTACCAGGCAGGACATTTCAAGGCATTGGAGTTTACCTCCCAGGGCTCAAGAGGAAATGCCAGACCTCTCTGCGGGCAAGGCTGAATGCTTTAGTGTGTGACCATAAAGCAAATATGCTTAAAATGGATGATTACTGAGTAAAGTGATTAAAAAGAAATGGAAATAATGAAAACAGACTGGCATAAAAAAGGCTTGTTTTATAAAGAACCCAAAAGCACTTCTTTTGGACTCTTTAGGAACCCAGAAAAGGAAGTATGTACTCAGCGGACAGAATGGACACATGACAGCTGAAGAGAGAATTCCTGAACGATACAGGAGTGTCTTAGTGCGCTCCAGCTGCCAGAGGAAAATACCACAGACGGAGTATTTACTCTCTCACAGTCCTGGAGGCTGGAAGAGCAGGTGCCCACAGGCCGGGTGCTGGTGAGGGCTCTCCTCCTGACTGGTA